TTGTGAATATGAAATAAGGACATTTGTATGACTTAAGGCTTCTTAACATCCTGGATGTAAGATATACTACTGTAGAAGGTTCATTGTATGTGCTTATACATACACACATACACAACCACAGACAAAGACACACAGAGAGAGATAATGTGAAACTGTTATTGTATAATGGAGCAACTGTATATGACATGAGAGGCTAACAAATAAGACATCCAGTACCAGTATTGAGTTACTTCGTTTGTAGGTGTTAGCCAATGAGGTCCTCCCATATACCCCAAACATTGTAGGCTATAGCCAGTCCTCTTTGTCATCCCCAGAATGTGATTGTGATGGCATATTTCTGATTTTGAGTCAGAGAACATGGAGAGATCAAGCTGGTACACAGCAGGAAGCTTCCTCCCTGATGACTTGCTTTCATAGTTCTGGAATATGCTATGCATGTTGCTAAAGGAGGAAAGCAGCAACTGTGAACTCCGTGAGCCACAATAATGACTGTCCTGGCAGGAAATGCCTACTGGTGAAATAATGGCATGAATACTGTGAGAGGAGCCAATAATCTACTTCATAAGATGAACCCATGACTGGCACATTACTGGACCAAGAACCTATTGCTAAGCACATCATAGAATGCACGGACAGGCAACACTATTAAGTGGATTCCTAATGATTTATTGTTATACTCTAAGATCAATGCATCTCTCAACCCTTTTACAGAAGTGTCTGTTTGCAGCGGGTGATGATTAACACAATTTATCAAAGGGCGTAGAGCGAGAAACGCGCAGAATGTTCAGCCTTAAATGGTGGATGTTTACCAATACTCTCCTCCAAAGGCTGAGGGAAGTGTTGCTGAAGAGGGAATGCAAAGAGGGTAAGAGCCAGAGGCATTGTTGACTGTAAAGAACGTTTCCTCTTGGACATAGTAGGGCAGCTGCATGGATGAAATCACTCATTGCAACATCTTTCAGGAGAGCTGTGTAAACCCAAGTGAAACCAAACCAGCACCGAGAGGGCAGATAGAGATCTAACCCACACATTGCTTCACTCTGAGGTGTTTAGGGCATCTTTTTCAGTGATGCCCTCCTGTTTGTAGACCTTTTAACTAATTGTAAAGAGTCAGAGCTCTGCTGCCTCTGCTCCGTGTTTTTGTCATGTTGCTGTGTGATTTTTAGGAGTCTTATGGCATCTTAAATAGTCCCATCCTTCTCTGAATACCGGATGTCCTAGGAATGCAAAAGGAAAAATGTTGGCTGCCTCTTATCTCCTTGGCCTTCTGGATAAGGCTTTAAGTCTATATCCTGAGCATGAAAGACCCTAGACATTTTTAAGTACTACTGATAGAGTGGTGAGTTTGAGTCTCTGCTTTGTGTAACTTCAGGTAAATTTTAGCCATACAGCAAATTGGAATTCTCTGGAATGCATGGGTTAGTCGGGTACCTTTGGTGTTAAATGTGTAATTAATTCCCGAGTCTGCGTGCAATGGAACCTCCTAGAAGAACAGTCTTCAGCAGAGGTTTGCATAGTATAAGCATCAGAAGAGTGGAAACAGATAGCAGGTAAACTGTGAAAAGGGAAGCTTCTGTATTGGAATCTGGGAGATTCCCATGCTCACCCTCACTCACAAGCATGGTAAAGCACCATATGGAATTTAGCTAACTCCTATTGTAGAGAAGAAGAAGCCATATGCTTTTAAATATTGATTTATGAAAAATTCTGTCAGCTGCTCAGTTTACTGCCTTAAGTACCAGTCAGTTATAAGAATGTGTTTGGTTCATACAAGGGTCTGGTTGGTAGAGATTCCCATTTTAGACAGTTATTAGCGGGATAATATTTCATTTACATTTCTCAGAATTTCCAGATACCAAGAGGTATAGGTAGTCCAGTGGCAGCATGGGGACTCTCTCACGGGCAAGTTACAGAAGAGCTACTGGAGTTCAACTTAATTAAGGAATAGTGTGTGTTCTTCCAAAGAAAAACTCCATGCGACCACAGCCTGTAGTGACATGCATACTACAGCCATGTACCAGGTGCTGATATTAAGTCACCTAGATATAACTATTGTGGAAGAGAACAAGCACTTCATGAGTTTTCCTCTGTAGATAAATCTTTTTGTTTTTGTCTTGTGTGACAACAAATGGCCAGTTCAGATTATGTATCCTCCATTACCAGGAGTCTTCACTAGGGGCATCCTCATAGATTCCAGAAAATTCCCATAGCACTAGGTTTTACACTGCCCCTCTACACCCCCCCCCCCAATTCCAGGTACTCTCTCCCTCCATTCCTCCCCCATGACCTGATCCCTCTTGTTCCCATCCCCAACCTTTCAGTCCCCCCACAGATTTATTCTATTTTTCCCTTCCCAGGGAGACCCATGCTTTCCCTTGTAGCTCCCCCTTCTTACCTAACCTTTCAGGGTCTGTGCATTGCGGCTTGATTTTCCTTTGCTTTACAGCTAGTGTCCGTTATAAGGACCACATACCATGTTTGTCTTTCTGTATCTGGGTCACTCACTTAGGATTTTTTTTTCTCTGATTGCATCCCTTTGCCTGCAAATTTCATGATGGTTTTTAAATTTTTTTTTTTTTACCAGCAGAGTAATACTCCATTGTATAAATGTGTCACAAATTCTTTATCCTTTCTTCAGCTGAGGGGCATCTAGGAGGTTTCATTTCTGGCTATGATGAATGAAGCCACAATGAACACAGTTATGGTAGGATGGAGCACCCTTTGAATACATGCCCAACAGTGGCATAGATAGTTCTTGAGGTAGATTGAAACACAAATTTCTGAGGAACCTCCATATTGATTTCCATAGTAGCTGTACAAGTTTGTACTTGCATCATCAATGGAGGAGTGTACCCCTTGTTCCACATCCTCTCCTGCACAAGCTATTACTTGAGGCACCTTTCATCGTGGATTTTATTTCTCTATCCATTCATTCAACCTGTGTCTTTTGGTTGTAGAACTGAGGTCGCTAATATTCAGTTGTTATTAAGACATGCGTGGTATTTGTGGCCACTACGTTGTTGAATTTCATTGTCTTTTTTTTTGTGTGTTGTTAGATGAGCTATTTTGTGTTTTAGTAATCATTGTTTGTTTCTTCCCCGTAGTCTCTTGGCTATGCTCATTCTGCTCTTCAGCATGAAATGATGCTTCTCACCTTTAATCTTGGTTTTATTTGCTGGATATAAAAACTTAGGCTACTTAGATTGAGGGACATTTTTCTTTCCCCTTTGGTTATAGCGTACAGTTTTGTTCAGTAGATTACTCTAGGTTGGCCCTCATGGTCCTTCAGGATTTGGAATGCAACACCCTAGGCCCTTCTGGCCTTCAAAGTTTCCATTGAGGAACCAGCTAGTTATCTGACGGGTTTTCATTTGCATGACTTGGACTTCTTCTCTTGCAGCACAGTTTTCAATACATTTTCTTTCTTCTGCATACTTAGCGTTTAAACTGTGATATGTTCTGGGTGTTTTCTTTTCTGGCGCTATTTGGTGTTATCTATGCTTCTTGTAGCTGTATGGATATGCCTTTCCCTAGTTTGAGGAAGTTTTCGTCAATGATGTTGAACACCTGGTCTGTGCTATTGATGCTATTGATTTGGGATTCTTCTCCCTCTTTGATGTCATTTCCTCCCCGCTCTTTGGCCTCAGGCCAAGGTTTCACAGTCTTGCAGTTCAGCTGTGAGGGTAGGGAAAGCTGGAAAGGCTGTGCCAGGTGGGGGGCTTGTGTTTAACCAGCAGCATGTGGGTCTGTTCACATCTGCCTCTCCAGACAGTCCCAGTGACCAGACAGAGGGAGGGGACTCTGATGTCTGTGTGCATCCCCAGCATCGAACACAGTAGAGTCTCAAGACTATGGATCGAATCCGTGAAGGCGGTAGCTCATGCTTGCTGGAGGATTGTGCTGGTAAAATTACCATGTGCTTTCTGGAACCCAGGGTTAAACTATAGACAGCACAAACCTCAGTAATTGTTATTATTTATTATTTATTTATTTTCGGTTTTTCGAGACAGGGTTTCTCTGTGAAACAGTCCTGGCCATCCTGGAACTCAGAGATCCGCCTGCCTCTGCCTCCTGAATGCTGAGATTAAAGGTGTGCGCCACCACTGCCGGCAACCTCAGTGACTTTTAAGAAAGATTTCTTTCTTGTTTTATGTGTCTGGGTGTTTGCCTGTATGCATGCATGTTTGTACCCCATGAGTGTGCCTGATGTTCTCAAAAGCCAGAAGAGGGCATCAGACTCCCTGGAAGTAGAATTGCAGATGCTTGTGAGCTGTCTTCCATGTGGTACCTGGGAACTGAACCCAGATTCTCTAGAAGAGCAGCCAGATCTCTTAACCTCTGAGCTATCTCTTCAGCTCCCCCTGCACCACCACTGCGGAGGCCACAGGGGAGCATTGGATATTCTGGAACTGGAGTTCCAGGTGGGTGTGGGCTGCCTGATGTGGGCTCTGGGAAGGGAGTTACAGGGCTTGTGATACTGCTCTGGAAGAGCGGGGGAGCCCTCTTAGCTGCTGAGCCATCATCTCTCCAGTTCCAAGGAGAGCACCTTTAACAGTGAACCAAGGTCCAGGCACATTCTGCATGGAATGATTGAAAAGTAATCTGTTCTTTCTGGTTCTCGGGTTACCTCACTCAGGATGGTTTCTTCTAGTTCTGTCCATTTGCCTGTGAATTTTAGGATGTCGTTGTTTCTTACCACTGAGTAGTAAGTATTCCATTGTGTAAATGTACCACATCTTCTTTATCCATCCTTCAGTTGAAGGGCATCTAGCTTGTTTCCAAGATCTGGCTGTTACGAATAATGTTGCTATGAACATAGTTGAGCAAATGTCCTCGTGGTGTGACTGTGCCTCCTTTGGGTACATACCCAACACTGGTATTGCAGGGTCTTGAGGTAGGTGATTACTAATTTTCTGAGAAATAGCCACACTGATTTCCACAGGGGCTGTACAAATTTGCACTCCCACCAGCAATGGAGGAGTGTTTCCCTTTCTCCACATCCTACTGCCCAATCAGTGTTTTATTCATCAACCAATAAGAGAAACATATATTCAGAAGGACATCCCCCATCACCATGGCACCCAGATTAGATCTATTGGATTGTGGGGAGTCAGGAAGATCATCAGGCTAGATCCTGGAGATGATAAGCAGGTTCTGACTTTGTCAAAAGCTTGGATTGGTCTTAAACTTATTAAGTCATTGCCTGTGGAGATTTGTCCCTCTATGGCTTGGGGCTTTAGGAAACATTGGTTCTTATATGGAAGTAGGAGGGATTTTCAATGTGTGTGACCTCTGGAGTGACTCTCCTACTTTCTCTGAGTTGTTCCATGCTGATATTACTTTCCACCAGAGAAGACTTTGAGAATGGACCTCAAGCCTCTCTCAAATAGGGTGTAGACTGTGAAGAACTGTTATGTAGAAGTGACAGAAATGGAGATCTCCCCATGGGCTTACAGACAAGCAGCTGAGTAAAATGATATCAGCTCACCTAAAATGACCGAAAAAAAAGATTTTAAGAGTAGTGCCCCCAAATCATTCATGGGTCAATATAAAACCCCTTTATATTGATGGACAATGGTAGGATCTAGTACGGAAAGTCTGAATCCAATTATTTTGGGGGAGACAATAAGGGAACAAATCTGGTTCTGTGAGCATCAGTTGTTCTAATTACTTTCATTGCAGTTTGTGCAGGATCCAAGGAGGTAGCCTCTGATTCTCCCCTGGACACAACTATCCTAAGGTGTCTTTCCTGTCAAGAAATCAATCTCATCCCTGTTTAAGACTGTGTTCCCAGTTGTATAGCCTTTGTCAAGCCATCTCTCATTGTAGCCATTCATTTCCTTAGCATTTTACTTTTCCTATTCTGGACTTCAAAGGATGAAGAATGCAGCTTAAACTAAAGCATACGGAGTCATGCCTGGTCCAACCACCAGGTTTTCATACTATAAACGAATGTCTGGGTCCAACTGTGTTAAAATATTGTCTTTCAGGAGACCATCTTCTTCCTGACTCATAGCTCCCATAATTTACTCATTATGTTGTGCACTTGGACTTTGTGGAACATCTGAGAATAACTGAAGGGTTTCATTAACCTCCATGCTCTTTGTGGTGCAGTAAATAAAACTACTCAGTAGTTTGTATCTGGTCTTGTTTGATGTCTATTCTTGGCCTCATCCTGGTGGGTATGCCATCTGGCCTCTCTCCTTTTCCCCACTTTTTACTATTTCATTAACATTATCTTCTGTTTTGAAGCTGTTAGGGTCTCTTCTAGTGTAACATCCCATTTCCCCCAGGCTAATTTACATATCTGCTTTAGGTGCTCACATGACAGGCACCAGCTCGTTTTGATTTCCTTTATCCTGACAGCAGAAAGGAGATGCGCATTGACCACTGTCATCCCATTCTTCCCTTTAGGCACTTCCTCATCAGGGACAGTCCTTCTGGGGTGGGGATGTAGATGGACATCTTACTGGTTTGCCCTTGCCTAACAGGTACAGGGCTCTGCTGAGCAGGGGTGCTCTGGAATTTCTGGGAGTCAGGATTGATATCTGAGGATCTCTCACGGAGTGGTGACATCTTGTAAGAGGAGGATCCCCCTTCTGATCTTTGGCTTTTCTTCTAAGATCCCTACCCGTGTCAGAGTACTCTGCAGCTAAACCCTGAAGGTCCACCCTCAGTGTTGAGTTCATTCTGTGTGATCTCAAAGGTCAGAGGAAACTGGGACTTATTTTTACCATTTCTGAGGGCTTCCGTTCGTGCTTCAGCACATATTTAATTGTGTGGTGGCTGTATTTGACACTGCCATCTGGTGACCATTTAAACTTACCATGAGATGATATGTTGGAAATAGTCCAAGACATGCTCTCTAAACACCTCAGTGTCTGGTTTTCCCGTGTGCTCAAGAAGCAAGCCATCAGCGACCCTAGGTATCATGGATTCTTTGATGTTCGTCTGCTAAGAGAAGCGAGGATGGGAGAGCTCATTGTTCCATTCTCTGATTTCCCAGTCATGAGTCTAGAAAGGTTACTCTGGTCAATGTGTTTGGGTCTATCAGTGTTATCCAACTTAAAGTCCTTGGGATAACTTCCTAAGATGGATGTTGCTGTTGTCTGTGCTTCCTCAAGACCACTCTCCTGGCCCTTGCTATTTTTACTGGTACCCTAGATATGTATGATGTTCCATTCCAGAAAGCATATCAATTCCTTCCCAACTTTTCCCATAGAACTTCGTGTCAAAGTTTGCACTCCCACTCAGCAATGGAGGAGTGTTCCCCTTTCTCCACATCCTCTTCAGCATAAGCTGTCATTGGTGTTTTTTATTTTAGCCATCCTGGCAGGAGTAAGATGATGTCTCAAGGTTGTTTTGATTTGCATTTCCCTAATGACTAAGGATGTTGAACACTTTCTAGCTTTTCGTACAAGACAGAGAGTTCCTTACAGACAACTCGGGAGGGTCATTTTTATTTGTCTGATGAAAACTATGGAGACTTTCCATCTCATGCAGAGGATAAGCGGACCCCATTTTATATCAAATAATAGGTTTATCAAGTTACTAAGTAACAAGAAAGCATCAGATCCTTGGAAGGACACAGCTGTGAGACTTCCTTGCTGCCTGAGGGGAAAAGGAAGGGCTATGATATCACAGGTGAAAGAGGTGAGAAACTCCTCTGCTTAGGGACTACCTGGTTTCCTTTTTAGGCTTGGGAAAAGCCAGGCAAAGAAGGGGATATGGTTGTTATATAAGGAACCAAATTTCCTGCCTGTAAAGAACATAATCCCGGTTGTCAGGAGAAATGTGCTCTCATTTCTCTAAGAAATGACATCTCTCTCTCTCTCTCTCTCTCTCTCTCTCTCTCTCTCTCTCTGTCTGTCTCTCTCTCTTTCTCTCACCAATTTAACACAAGTTGACGCACTTCACAGTGAAGAAATTATTCCTTTCCAGCCTTGCAAACTTTGCCCTTGATCTTCATGGAGTGGAGGCCTCCCTCCTTCCAGTACCCAAGTTAGGTGTCATCCTGAACCATATAAAAACAAATCACAGTGTGCCACTAGCCAGGGCTTTGTCACTAATGGACTCTTATTCTGTGTTCATTGGGCTTGGGCATAGTTCCTGAATATTATTAAAATATCACCAGATGTTTTAGCTTGCTTAAATAATATTTCACATAGCAACAAAAAGACTAATGAGCCCTTTTAGTTTGATTCAAACAGGCAAGGTAACAAATGGGGACTCAGACAGATTGCCAGAGCACCCAAATTTATAATTCGAAGGGTAAATTGTAAAAGCAATCTACCCTGAGGTAAAATCTCCCTGGAGCCAACAGCTTTTGATCATGGCGGTTTGAACGGTTATGGCCCCCATAAGTTTGAACGATTTGCCCAAAGGGAGTGGCATTTCTAGGAAGTTGGGTCTTGTCAGAGCAGATGTGGCCTTGCTGGAGGTAGTGTGACACTGGGGAGGTAGGCTTATATGTTTGTTCATTGTTTCGAGTACTTCATTTAGCACATTTTGTTTACATTCTCTCTGGTTGTTACCCCAACTCCTTCCAATCGCACCCTTCTAGTCCTCCTACCTCTTTGTTCCTTTTATGAAAAAAATTCCCAAACTGAAATCAAATCAATGCAGCAAAACTCAAAAGTAGTAGTAGTTCACTTTGGGTTGCCCAAGTACTGAGCTCCTTGTCAGTTCTGGAATGTGTGTGATCTACCCAGGGGTATTCAATTTAAGAAAACGGATTTCCCCTTTTCCAGAAGCTGTCAGTTGCAAATAGCTTCTTGTCAAGGACTGGGACTTCGTGTTCAGGTTCCCGTCTCTGTAGTGGGGTTTTGTCTGGCCTAGTGAACAACTGTCACCATCGGTATGAGCTCGTGTATGCATCATCCCTGATGTATCTGAAAACGCCGGTTCCTCCAAGATTGTCAACCACCTCTTGCTCTTACAATCTTTCCATTTCCTTGTTTGTGTAGATTCCCCGCAAGCCTTGAATGGAGGGTTGCAAAGCCTCTCACTCTCTGTACATTAAACGCCTTAAGTAAAGTGAAAAAAAAAACATGATTCCTCTATTTAAGACCCCGTTTCATGACCGTAGGCATATCAGGGGGCTACATGACCCCTAAGATCCTTCAGCTGAACTCTTCTAGTCTTAGTGTGTAAACACTAGGATTCTCGAAGTTGCATCTACAAACCACTCGTGTTAGCCGCTTTTGTTATTTATGTGAGAGAACACCTCACTGGAAAACTAAGAATTTATTCTCACTCACGGTCTGGAGGTAAAGACCGCACCGGAGGGGAGATCACGGCTGCATGGCTGTGGTGAAGGTGCTCCCACTGCTGTCACAGAGAGAAGCAGAAACAGGCGAATGCTGGTGTTCAGCTCACGCTCTTGCTTACTCCTGTGTCCCAACCCATTGGGATGCCACCGTCTACACCTATAGTCCTTCGTGCCAGGATGAACTGTTTTAGAAGCACTCTATGTTGTAATTTTAAAGAAGTGGTGTGTGGGAGAAAGATACCGTGTGACAGGGTTCGAGCAGAGTTTTTTTTTTTATTAGGGAAAGGGATTTTACAAAAGGGAAAGGGGAGACTGGCCTCTGGGGACAGGAGCAGCAGGAGAGAGGAAAAGCATTCAGAGAGAGAGAGAGAGTGAGAGTGAGGGACACAGAGGGGGAGGGGGAGAGGGGGAAGGAGGAGAAGGGGAGGAGGGAGAGAGGGATACATACATACATACACACACATATGTATGTATATATATATATATATATATATATATAGAGAGAGAGAGAGAGAGAGAGAGAGAGGATGGGAGGTGGGCAGGGCCCTTTTAAAAGGAAACATAGTGAATAGGCACAGGTGGTGCTCTCAGTGGCTGCAGCTGTCAGAACCCCAAAGGCAGGCCAGTGCAAATGCCTAAATACTGACACTCTAAGAGAATACCCAGAGACATGTTACCATGGTGATTATTAGTCCCATCAAGTTGATGAAGAGGGTTTGCTCTAATAAATCTCCTTTATTAACATAACTGTGGTGGTAATTCTTGATTGTTAACTCGACTGCATGTGGAATTAACTAAAACCTAATTGGTTGGGTACACCTTCTAGGGAGTTTTCTTAACACTAAATTATTTGAAGTGTGAGGACACATTTCTAATCCAGATCTTTTGAAGTGGGAATATCTGCCTTTAGTCTGGGCAACACTTTCTGCTGGTAGCCTATACAAAAGACTTCAAAGAAGGAAGTTCTCAGGCTGGGTAGTGGTAGTGCATGTCTGTAATACAAGCACTTAGGAGGCAGAGGCAGGCAGATGTCTGAGTGTGAGGCCAGCCTGGTCTACATAGAGAGTTCCAGGACAGTCAGGACCACACAGAGAAACCCTGCCATGAAAAACCAAAGCCAAAACAACAGAAAGGAAGTTCTCTCTCTTTGCCTGCTCGCTCTCATTGGCAAGACCATTCCTTTACTGGCCTTATAGCCCACTTCTTTGGAATTCTGGTATATACTGGAGACTGGTTGAGGCAGACTTGTGGACAGAAGGACAACTGGATTCTTATACCTTCCATTAGTAGACAGCCATTGTTGGACTAGTCATTCTAACAAATAGTCTCTCTCTCTCTAATAAATATATGTTCTTATATATCTATAGAATATTTGTTAGTTATAATACATCTACAAGAATGAATAATATATACATATATGTAACTAGTGAGTTTTATATAGAGACTCTGTAAGTTCTGTCCCTCTTAGTGAACCCTGACTGATACAACACAACACATCAGGTTGAACATAGAACCCATTACTTCCTCTTTTCTGTTTAAACAAAAAGAGAGGTCTTAACTTTAACATAGTCAAATTATATATAAAAGAACAGTTATCAAGTAAGAACATAGTTACAATATTTTGTCTATCAACATTTAGCAAGATTTAAAGAAAATATCATCTATCTCATTCTTGTGAGTCCAAAGTCCTATATGTAGCTTATCTTTTATAATAACTAAGGAAAACTATAATTATAACTATCTGTCTTTAACTCCATCAAAGACCACAAAAGGATAATATATAAACACTAGGATTGACAGAGACATCTTACTGCCTGGACAGTCACCCGAAGTTCCTCTGTAACGTTGGGGCATCCATCTTCAGCCCATAGGCCACAATGTATCCAGAAGATTTCTCAGCAAAGCAGGAAATCTCAAAACTGTCCATCTGCATTGGCAGTCTGTCAGTCATTTCTCTGTGTCCTGCAGAAAGCCTCTTCCATGAAGCAGGAACCCTGTAAGACTGAGTTCAGCAGTCACTTTCCTATGGGTCCTGCATGCCCAGATTATACAACAACAGTCAAGCAGTACAGGCAAGAGCAGTTTCTTGCCCAAATGGCTAATCTTGCCATGTTGAAAGCAAACTCCATAACAAGTTTCTTTGATGCCCATCTTCCTCTCAGACGTCATTGGTACTGCCAGGAGCAGACATTTCTCATTGTCAAGAAAAACCCTAAATCATTTTAAATGCCATTTTCTGAAGGTCTTTGAAAGGTTTGAAGACTATCTCAAATATATTTTTGTGTATCTAGAAAACGTAACTTACCTACTATAAGTTCTGACTATTATAAGTAACTATCTATAGTCTGTATTGAAATATGCATTATGTTTTAAAAGATTAGTATAAGCACAATACTTAATCAAGAGGAGAAATATAAACATCACAAAATTGACCTTGAATTTGTATCAAAAAATGAAAAACCATACCCATACCATAATTCCCCTTTTTACCATTAAAAGAGAGATTGGCTGTGATCACTAGCTAATTATAAACAACCCCATTCAAATGAAAACAAAGATTTATAAACAAGATGGGAATTAGGATGTCGCTCATTCCAAACTGCTTCGTGCTGGAAGGGGGCACTGTTCATACCATGGGGATCATGACAAAACTCAGAAACCTGTATAAGTCCTTAGTTTAGGGTCTGTAAGACTGCATCATCTTAGCTGTTTCAGTTGTTGGAACACTTGGTCCACTGCTTCCGGGGGTCTTGGTTCATCAAACCACAGAAGCCTGGAAGGAATCCTCAGATTTTCATTTTTTTTAGAAACATAAATAAAATCTCCTTTCCCAAGTAACATATCCTTATACTTAAATTTTGAAGTCAAGGCATTTTCAAAAGATATAAGTTGAATTAATTCAGCAGCATTTGTAATCAAGTGTACTTTAGCAGTTGTTCCTCCCTTAGCAGTGAAAAAACTGAAAAACACAATAGCGTACAGTCTCCAGACTCTTTGTGTATTTTCCATCTTTACATGGCTTATTTATTTATCTATTATTACTTTATTTATTTTACTTTTATTTATTTTTCTCTGAGACAGGATTTCTCTTTGGAAATCCATCTTCCTCTGCCTCTGCAGCAAATCCTACCGGCATGCGCCACCACAGCTGGGCCGTTTTTTTTTTTTTTTTCTCTCTCAATCTTACGTATATTTTTAAACACACTGTAAACCTTTAGAGGTTTTTCTTCATCCAAGTCTGACTTTACTGTAAATGTTTATGTTTTTCTGGCCACGTGTCTTATCTGTTATAACTGCAGCTGTTTAAACTGCCGTTTTTCCAAGATGGCGGGCATAAGCGTGATTCTAGCTTACTGTCTCAGTCTGACATCCAGCAAAAGCTGCCGGCTCAGAGATGTGGTCACTGCCACTTCCAGCTGTACATAAAACTTTTCAGTTGTTAGCAGAGTCTCTTAAAAGAACCTTGCTGGGTTTTTTTTTTTTTCTTTTTATGCCGAGTCAGGAAGACTCCTGTAAGCGAGCCACGTGAATCTCGGCTTGTTGCTAGCAAAACAGAGCCCACCTGAGAAAAATGCTGCTACCAAAAACCTGTGCTTCTCTCCGTTCTTCTGTTTCTAAAATTCCTTTAAAGCTTTTGTCATTCTACGTGGAAATTCATCATCCCACTCCTGATCACCATTTTGTAAAGAGAAACCTTTTTCCTTGAGAGAAAGCCTTCCCGACAGCCTGGTTCTAGAGCCGCATCAGTCCCAAATAAACACACAGGAGGCTATATTAATTATGAAGCTGTTGGCCTTACTTGTTTCTTACTGGCTAGCTCTGACTTAAGTAATTACCCCATAATTGTTAATCTATGTATTTCTCTTACCGGAGAGGTTTCCGGGCTTTCTACCCCATGGCGTTACATCTTGACTCTCTGTGTTTCTTCTTCCCAGAGTCCTCCTGGACTCCTAGTCCCACCTATCTAGATTCCTATTGGCCAGCAGTCCTTTACTGACAAATGCACAGGACTTCCCCCCAACAATTACTTATTTTCTCGGTATTATAAAATCTACTTAGTCCATCTCAAGGTCTACAGTCTTTAAAAATTCTGACAGTATTCAGAACTCTCATAAAAACAAACAAAAATTTTACTTTCAAACATACAATAGTGTAGAGAGCTGCAAAGTGCCGCACCCTCAAGATGGTGCTGGCTTCCACCTTCTGCTAGCCCCACAGCAGGTGCCGTCTATGATAAACAACACCTGTATTTGGTTAAGGCTGGATATCAGGCTTGCTTCTGCGTGCGTGGACCTATCTGCATGTTCCATGTGGCATACTGGGGTTGGCTGCCCAAGGGCTTTTAAGCTGTGGGTTGGGGCTCCCTGGCGCTCCCCGGGAGAAGAAGATTGTTCAAAGGTTTCTGAATAAACTGCTTAAAGAAGAGTCTGGGCGTTGCGTCTTACTTGCTGGTTGAGGTAGGTGCAACACAATAGCATAGGGATCACATTCCAGAAGGAGAAACCATAAAGACAACATAAAGCAACACTTTCACCCAGTGAGGCAAACACCACATTGTGAAATAGTTTTTCATATGGTGCCTCTGGTAGAATCATTCAGGATCCAATAACCACAGGCATTCATGCCTTTCCAACTCTATCACCTATAGCACATTTCTTTTTTCCTGAGAGACTGATGGGACCTTATTTTTCATATTTAAGTTGTTGCACTCATCTTGAAGTCTTGGGTTATAAAAAAGTTCGTAATTTATTTAAAGACATTCTATACCATAATTAAAGGATAAGGTTTAAAGTATTCTTATCTTTATTTTTGCCCCAAGAAGGGTTATTTATAGCAGACTTGAATGAGCCTAACATTTTTTAAAATTTTTTTAAAATTTAAATTAGAAAAAAGCTTGCTTCACATGTCAATCCCAGCTCCCTCTCACTCCCCTCCACCCCATCCCCCACCAACCTTGTCTCCCCAATCCCCACTCTGCTCCTCAGGGAGCATGAGGCCCTCTATGCTGGATCTCCAAAGTCTGTCATTTCATCCTGGGCAGGGCCTAGTCCCTGGGAATGTGTCCAGGCTGAGAGAGCATCTCTCCATGTGGAATGGGCTCCCAAAGTCCATTCATATGCCAGGGATAAATACTGTTCTACTACCTGAGGCCCCATAGAATGCAGAGGCATCCTTACTGACACCCAGATTTGGGCGGTCTGGATCAGTCATGACTCTCAGCCATCAGTCAGGTGCCCATGGGCTCCCCCTTGTTCAGGTCAGCTGTTTCTGTGGGTTTCATCAGCCCGGCCATGACCCCTTTGCTCATCACTCCTCCCTCTTTGCAACTTGGATTCAGGAGTTCAGTTTGTTGTTTAGCTGTGGGTGTCTGCCTCTACTTCCTTCAGCCACTGGATGAAGGCCCTAGGTTGGCCTCAGCAATCTATGGGGCCTTGGGTAGTAGATCAGTATTTATTCCTGGCATACAAATGGACTTTGGGAGCCCATTCCACATTGAGGGATGCTCTCTCAGCCTGGACACAAGGGGGAGGACCTAGGATGAAATGACAGACTATAGAGATCCCCTATGGAGGGCATTACCCTCTCTGGGAAGCAGCGGGCGGGGGGGGGGGGGATGGAATGGAGATTGGGGAGATTGGGGAGCCCAGGGAGGAGGGGAGGAAGAGGGAAATGGGAGTAACATATGTAAACAGTTAAATAAAAATTATTATTAAGAAAAAAAATTACATGTTTCCCTCCTTGTGCTCTGGATCTACATACAGGATAAGAGAAATATAAACAGGTTTTGGGGCACTTCTTTTTCTTTTTCTTTTTTTCTTCTTTACAGAAAAAGCTTCTTTGCTCTTGTTCTAAATTATGCCCAATATCCTGTTTCATAATCACAGTAAAATCAATGCTGTTTCTTAAAGTGTGACTGTGGTAATCTTGCTATCCTGCCTCTTTCTTTTATATGTATATACATTTAAAAAATTTGTTTTAAGTTTAATTTCACATTCCAAACTCAGTTCTCTCTCCCACCCCTCCTCCTGTCCCCTTGTGCCCGACCGCCCCCCCAGCTCCTCCTCATGGGTAAGGCTCTCATGAGGAATCAACAAACTCTGGCACATAGGGTTGGGAGAAACCCAGTGCTAGGATAATTCCCAAGAATCCACAAGGATGACCTAAGTTAAGCCTCTTAGCAATAGTGGAGAGGATGCTGAGCTGGCCTATCCTGTAACCAAATTGGAGAATAACCCCAACTATCATCGTAGAGCCTTCATGAAGTAATTGATGGAACCAGACTCAGAGATCTACAACCAAGCACCAGGCTGAACTCTGGAAATCCAGTTGAAGAGAGGGAGGAGGGAACACATGAGCAAGGGAGGTCATGACCATGATGGAGAAATCTACAGGGACAGCTGAACCAAGCTAGTAGAAACTCATAAACTTTAGACTGATAGCTATAGACTCCTTGGGAATGAACTAGGCCCTCCATATGTGGGAGACTGTTGTGAAACTTGTACTATCTGAGGGGCCCCGGCAGTGGGTCCAGGACCTATCCCTTGTTGGAACCCATTCCCTGTGGTGGGATACCATGCTCAGCATTAATACTTGGGATGCTTTTCAATGCCAGCCCTTGTCAATGAATGCTGAAACACCCTGTTCTTTTCCCCCATTGTGTGTTGCTGTAGTAAATGGCTCTGCTCCTTATCCTTTACTGAAGGAATGTATTATGATCTTAGGAAGAAACTTCTGTAACATTTTTATTAAAAGAAGTTTGTTGTTAAATATGTATACATAAGCTATGTGAACAAAGGGTCTAGGGAGAATTGGAGAATCAGAGCAAGAAAATTAGACCAAAGAATTAGAGAATTTGATCTGGAGAATGAGAGCTGGGAACAAAGAGCATAACCCCCAGATCATGTATGTCTTTTCCCTTCAGATAGATAGGAAATTTTTCTAAAGTCGTTGCTGCTCTGAAGGCATTCCTTTTGCTACCGTGGTTACAATCCTGGGAGCTGGGACGTGGCAAGAGATTCATGGGCATACAGTCCTGTCAGTGGGTTGCTTCTAGGGACATACAGCCCTATCTGTGAAGACTTGGCAGTCAGTCTAGGGAATGAAGCATTGCAGAAAATGATTCTTTCTGCTATGTCTCTCATTTTTAATATGAGACTTATAGGGAAGTATCAGAGAGGTTCCCAGTGTTCTCATGAGCTGTTTACACACACATCTACTCTCTTTTTTACAACTAACACTCACAGGGCTCCCCATCCTCCAGTGGAGGTCAGCACAAACCCGAGGCCCTGGCTCAGCACATCTTTCGTAGATGTAAGAATTATGTTTTCTTAGCAAGATCTCAGGGGGTGGAGTTGCCCACTGACGGTATCAAAATATGTACATAGTGATGTGTTGTCCGTCTATGACCGGGCTTATCCGTGGAAGTGTCCACTGTGGTGAAGCACGCAGATGAAGGGAGGTCCTACCCCCCTTAATAATGTGGGGCAGTAATGTCAAGTCAGGTCGTGCTAGAGCAGCTTAGTAAGGGCAAGCGAGCCCTAGATCCTTCCACCTTGTTTCTGCACCACACTCGATGCTTGAAGCCATCTGAGAAGATCTGTAGGTCTCTACAAGAACACCGTCATGATACCTCGGAGATGTATACCTTGGAGATACATATAAGTGGGAAAAGTGGGTCTATTCAGCATATTATTCTGCTGAACTTGAAGTTCATGTAACAGTTTCTAGCCAAGAATAAGGGTGGGGATTTGAAAATAATAAAAAAATATTGCAGCAATACAGAATCATGGTTGAAGGTCTGTGGCTGGACAGATGCTCAGGTCTCTTGCTGCAGACACGCAAGGAGGAACCCTGGTAGGATTTGAAGGCTGACTCAATAGCAATAATGATTTCTGGTGACCAGACTTACCAGGGTTCTTGGCAGAAATGAGATAATGTAAGGACATTTTTAGTGGAAACTCAGGGTTCTGAATGGGGGCTGTCCAAGTTTGTTTATTAATTAAATAATTAAGCATTTCACAGATATATTGTCTAAAAATTGTGCCACTTCCTATTATATCAATATTTTTCATGGCTTCTCTTACTTTTAGAAGTGTATTCATTGAGTTTAGATTTTGTGCAAATTTGACAGCATAGGATGTAAGGTAGGTAGGTGACCTATATATCTTATGTGATCCATGGAAGCAAAAAAATGCTATAGTGAATGGGCAAACAGAACATGGTGTCTCCACTTAATAAGAAAAAAAACACATAACCTGGGTAAAGAGGAGATCTTGACTTTAAGTACGCAATACTATGTTATTTCCTAATTGTCCCCTTTTAATATTGCTACAGTAGAAACTACCTCTAACATGGCAACAGCAAGGCAAAACACTCCACCTATGCTAACAGGAAAATCCCTAAACAGAGAAATTGAAGTGAGAGGTACTGAGTTTGAGGACAGTGGTTAGAGGAATATTGTTTAATGAGTCCACATTTTCCTGAAAGCAGATAAAATCTTCCTGGAGGTCTATTTGGTGATGTTTGCATAACAATGGTAGTGCCCCTAAGCCCAATGAGATATATGTCTAAAACTGTAAATGTTGAAATTTCAGGTGATGCATGTGTTATTGACTGAAAATATTGACAGGTCTGATGGTGCTTGGCTATGGGTGTTCAACTTAAGAAGAAAAAAATGGCTGGGCGGTGGTGGCACACACCTTTAATCCCAGCACTTGGGAGGCAGAGGCAGGTGGATCTCTGCGAGTTCGAGGCTGGGCTGGACTGACAGCCTCCAAAACAATACAGAGAAACCCTGTCTGGTAAAATCAAAAAAAAAAAAAAAAAAGGAAAAAAGAAAAAAATGTCAGACAGTTTCATGAGACCATGCACACTAGGACTTATATTTCCCTTCTTGCTTTGGTCTTGAACAACACTTATGATACAGAGTCACCTCTCCATCCTTGGGCTTCTTCTGAGATCTAGTTGTGTTGTTCTGTGACACTGAAAAAATGCACACCAAAGTTAGTGTTCTCATATGATCCCAATGTACCTGTAGACCAAACATGAACTGCAAGGGTAGACTATGCTGACTCCCTACTCCATGGTGGCAACCTAATCCTCTTATTCTAAACTAAGTTCTGAGCTGAAATGCTACACAGCTTCTCCAGGAAACACCCTAACCTCAAATTTGAGCTACTGTTGAGATAAAATGGCAGGCTATTGTGTGATCCACAGCCTAAAGGTTGATTCTGTAATTTCCTCTGTAAAGGTCCCCATGGTCCAGAGGAAGAATCTCACACCCACCCCTCCAGTACAGGTAAGATCATATCTCATTAGGAGCCTAGAGGCCCCGTTACCCTCATAGCCAATCAGAAGAAGGGAAACATTGATGGAAAGGGCTGACTAACCAGAGACTTAGGATTTAAAGCCTGAGTAAGGTGTTGCTGGGCCAGATCCTGACACCTCAGCAACCTCTGAAGAGATTCTGGAGTGCACTGAAGAAACAGCAGCTACCACAGGTGAGGCCCTGCTTCTACCAAGGCAGAAAGGGAGTTGACCTTGGAGTACCGGTCCTGAGAGACTCCATGTAGAATCAGGCAGACCCCCAGGAATGAGACTATCTTCTCAACCTAAGCAGCCCTTGCTGTGTAGAGGTAGAAACGGATGAGGAAGCCAGAGAGAAAACCAGACCCCCAAAACATGTCCAGGTCTGTATCAGTTCCAATTCACTGCAAATCTAGTCCTGGCCAGAGACAGTGTGAGCTGATACCATGCATGCCTGGGTCATGCTTATCTCCTCCTGAGCCTACAGAGACCATTGTATTACATACACATCAACCCTGGATAAATGTTTTGTTTTCCAATTAACATGTGCAGAAGGAGTAGAAGGTGGCATGCCACTTGTAAGTTCTCATAGGGAATGTTGCTCAAGAAACCCAGCAAAGCCTGAACCTGAGATTTCAGGGTGTCTTTATCCACTGTGTCTCTGGCTTCCACTGGCTTCTCCATTTGAGAGTTTTTCCCTTCATCAGTGTCACGAATGTGGTGTAAACTCCCAATGGTCTGAAAGATTGCTAGAAATTTGATGTTTTTCCCATATTTTCTAAGAAAGGCAGCCTAGAATATTTCCACTCAAGAGACAGCAGCCCACATTCTGCTCTGTGTTAAGTGATATCATGCAATGCGATCTCAATTTCTGGGGAGAACTTGTACTTAGGATCAGATGCCACATAAGAGAAGACTTTTATCATTACAAATTCTAGGTCCTTTCTGTCCAAGTCCTTAGTTATGTGACCTTTTGAATTTTGACATCCACGATCATTTTTGTAATCATGTCAATGTGCAGTATATGGATATTTCCATGAGTTTCTAGAAATTTTCCCAAGTGGTCTGCAATTGTATATAAAAACTAAATGCCAACCATGGCATCTCTAGTCCAAAATCTTTGAGTAAATACCTGGGAGAGTGGTTAGAATAATTTTATCCTGCATAGATGGTTTAGTTTCTTAAGAGTGTTGTTGTATTCTCCCATTCATTTCCTTCTCTCTGTAGGTACTTGAGACATGATTCTTGCTGTCCTCTTGGGCTTCCTGTGCTTGGGCGTCGCCTCAGCTGCTCCAACACCAGATTACAGTTTGGATGCTGAATGGGAGGAGTGGAAAAGGAGCAATAATAAAACATACAGCCAAGTAGGTCACATGGACACCCAAAGAGGGTCCTCGTAGAACATGTTCATTGCTGTTGGGGGTTCATGGTTATGCTCGAGGTCATAGATGGCACCCTTACCTGAGGTATTAATGTAACACAGGATAAACACTATCTCTGCTCATCAATGTGTTGAGAGTGCCTTGCTTTAGCGTCCCAAAAATCCCTCCCCACAACCTGCATGCATACGCGGCAGCCAGTCCACTTGGTCAGGTAGTGCAGGGTTATAATTAGAAGTAAATGCCATTCATTATGTTTGTTTCCAGGAGGAAGAAAGGCAGAGGAGAGCAGTATGGGAAGAAAATGTGAAAATGATCAAACTGCTCAGTATGGAGAATGGCCTGGGGATGTACAACTTCACTGTAGAGATGAATGAATTTGGTGACATGGTGAGTATGGCTTAAATTGTGTTGTATTCTGCTTTTTCTCTTCTATTGTTTGAATGGAAACTTTATGTATCTTTCCTTGAAGACTGGTGAGGAAATGAGGAAAATGATGATGGAGAGCTCAATTCTGACTCTAAGTAATGGGAAACACATCCAGAAACGAGGAGATGTCAAATTTCCCAAAACTTTGGATTGGAGAACACAAGGCTATGTGACTCCTGTGCGGAGGCAGGTATGACAACATCACATGACTGACTTCTTCAACTACTGCAATGGGACTAGTTATTGACTCATCTGTCTTATTTTATAACTTGAAGCCACAGTTACTGTCCTTACCATTCTGCTGCTAGTAACAAATAGCTTTGTTGTCCAAGGGAAGGAGGAATCCCTGATCCATGCCTTGTCAATTATAGGGATCATGAAGGTGTAGTAGAATGTATACATTTCTAAGTATACTTACTCTTAAGTCTCCATCTAGTGACCCCCCTTTATCTCTCTCCAGACTTAATTTCTTCCATTATTGATATTTCTTACACCTGGCATCCAGTAGAATACAGTCTCATGCACATCTGAGTGTGACTGTGTGGTTACCCATTGGGACATAAAACACCTCCCCACGGAGACTGACCCTTCCTACCTAGGCATCGGCCAAATGAGAATAGCTCATTTTTGATAAAGTACTCCTCTTGAGTTGCTGCCGTTAATATGTTTTTGTAGATGACAATATTTTTTCTCTATTCAGTTAGATTGTGGTGCTTGCTGGGCTTTTGCTGTGGCTGGTTCCATAGAAGGACAGCTGTTCAAGAAAACAGGCAGACTGATCCCACTGAGTGTACAGAACCTAGTGGACTGTTCTAGAACTTATGGCACTAATGGCTGTAAAGGGGGCAGAATCTATAATGCCTTCCGGTATGTGAAGTACAATGGAGGTCTGGAGGCTGAGGCAACCTATCCATATGAAGCAAAGGTAAGTGGGCTACCCGGGTTTTCTTTTCAGTTCAGCTGGGGTAAAGGGAAATTGCAGAAAAAATGCATTGCCTTCAGAGCTCACATTGAATGTAGAGTTTCCCACACCACCAGTGCTGCCATTAGAGTGTCCACCCCTGCGTGGTTGAATCCACGATTCCATGTTTTTTTCCTGCTTCTATGTACATGGAGGATGTGCAAAGCATTCCACACATAATTCAGATTTCCACACCATGAAAATTTCTTGTTGATAGGAAGACCTATGAGGTGTCATTGAAGACACGAGATCTGATTTCCTGTTGCAAATCTTCCAGTGACATTTCACTTCCTGGGATGATTTATAGCAGCCCAGATGTGGGAATGGTCCAGTGCAAACTAGCCAGTATTGTGGTTCTTGCTGTCCAGAAGGCAGATGGTAGTAAGCAAACCTCTTAACTCTTTGCTTTTGAAAGGAAGGTAGCTGCAGGTACCGTCCTGAACGCTCTGTCGTTAAGATCGCCCGCTTTTTGATTGTCCCAAGGAATGAAGAAGCCCTACTGAATGCGTTAATGACCAATGGGCCCATTGCTGTTAGAATTGATGCTGCACATGCATCTTTTCGTGGATATACAGGAGGTAAGTATGTGTTTTTCTATATATTTATGAAGAGTTCTTGTGACCCTTTGGGACATGCCAGGTTGATATCCTAATAGTGTATAAAATTTGATGTGAGTGTTTGGGATTGTAAGTTTGACACTTGTTAATGCGGTCATCATGTGTGTCGTTTCCTAGTGACATGACATACCTATGCATCGGAATACTTCATTACTCGTCATATTATTTAGCTTCATTTATACACGTTCCTCATATTAAGATATGGAGCCATTGCTTTCCTAGAAGTAGGAGTGACTTAAATTAAGAAATGAATATTTAGTTTCTGTTCATTTAGTTAGATGTTGGCTGTTGGTTTGCTGTATATATCTTTTATTATGTTTAGGTATGTTCCTGTTATACCAGATCTCTCCAAGACCTTTATCATGAAGGGGTGTTGGATTTTTTCAAAGGCTTTTTCAGCATCTAGTGAGATGATCATGCGATTTTTGTTTTTCAACTTGTTTATATGATGGATTACATTGATGGATTTTTGTATGTTGAACCATCCCTGCATCCCTGGGATGAAACCTACTTGATCGTGGTGACTGATTGTTTTGATGTGTTCTTGGATCCAATTTGCCAGTATCTTATTGAGTATTTTTCATCAATATTCATGAGGGATATTGGTCTGAAGTTCTTTTTCTTAGTTGTGTCTTTGTGTGGCTTGGGGATCAAGGTTATTGAAGCCTTGTAGAAAGAGTTTGGCAAAGACCCTTCAGCTTCTAATGCATAGTATACTTTGGGGATAATTGGTATAAGCTGTTATTTGCATTTCTGGTAGAATTCTGCACTGAGGCCATCTGGACCTGGGCATTTTTGTTTGGGAGATTTTTGATGACTGCTTCTATTTATAGGGATTATATATATATATATATATATATATATATATACTTAAGAATCCTGTATTAGCAATACAAAAGCACAGATGGGGCACAGAAACAAAAAGTGATAGAGGATTCCTGCCCCCAAAATGCTTAGGTTTCCTGTACACAAATTGTATAAATGTTTGGTCACTGTTTGAATTTTGAATACACCTGCTGAAACTGATCTGTTAAACATACTAGCTTGGGTTAAAACACATATTCCAGATCCTCACAGTACTTGTGCAAATCTGTATTTACACTTCACTGCCTTCTCACTCTTCGAATGTGTATTTAACTTCCAGTTTCAGAGGTCTGAGGTTGAAGTCTGACATATTCTTTTGGGTTTTATGTGCATAACCACCATACAGTCAAACAGCATTGGTGGGGCCAGCAAAGGTTGCCGGTGGTGTCTAGGCCTGTAAGATTATAGGTCTATTTAAATTGCTTATCTGTTCTTGATTTAATTTTGGTAAGTGATAGCTATCCAGGAAGTCATCCATTCCCTTTAAATTTTCCAATTTTGTGGAGTACAGGTTTTCAAAGTATGACCTGATGAGTCTCTGAATTTCTTCAGAGTCCATTGCTATGTCCTCCTTTTCATTTTTGATTTTGTTAATTTGCATGTTCACGCTCTGCTGTTTGGTAGTTTGGACAAAGGTTTGTCTATCTTGTTGATTTTCTCAAAGGACCAACTCTTCGTTGCATTGATTCTTTGTATTGTTTCCTAGTTTCCACTTCATTGATTTCAGCCCTCAATTTGATTATTTCCTGGCGTCTACTCCTTCTGGGGGAGTTTGCTTCTTTGTGTTCTAGAGCTTTCAGCTGTGCTCTTAATTCTCTAATATAACTATTCTCCAGTTTCTTCATGTGGACACCTAGTGCTATGAACTTCCTTCATATTAGATATTAGGATTGCTACCCCTGCTTGTTTCTTGGCTCCATTTGAATGGAAAATCTTTTCCCAACCCTTAGCTCTCAGGTTATGTCTATCTTTGAGGGTGAGGTGTGTTTCTTGTATGCAGCACAAGGAAGGTTTCTGTCTTCGAATCCATTCTGCTAGCCTGTGTCTTTTTTATGGGTGAAATAAGGCCATTAATGTTGAGGGATATTAATGACCATTGATTGCTCATTCTTCTTTGATTTGGAATAGTTGTTGTTGGTGGAATTATGTGTGGAATTCCACCCCTTTGTTCTTTTGGTTGTTGGTGGAGTGGGATTCTCTAATGCCTATGTTTTTTTCTGGTTGTAGTTAACTTCCTTGGGTTGGAGTTTTCATTCTAAAAGTTTCTGTAGGGCTGGGTTAGTGGATAAGTATTGCTTGAATCTAGTTTTGTCATGGGATATCTTGTTTTCTCCATCTATAGTGATTGAGAACTTTGCCGGGTATAGTAGTCTGGGCTGGCATCCATGGTCTCTTATCTATCCAGGACCTTCTGGCTTTCAGAGTTTCCATGGAGAAGTCAGGTGTAATTCTGATAGGTTTGCCTTTATATGTTAGTTGACCTTTCTCCTTAGCTGCTCTAAATATTCTTTCTTTATTCTGTATATTTGGGGTCTTGATTATTATGTGTCGAGGGGAATTCTTTTTGTGATCCAACGTATTTTGTGTTCTGTAAGCTTCTTGTACCTTCATTGGCATGTCTTTCTTCAGGTTGGGATGGTTTTCTTCTATGATTTTTTGAATATGTTTTCTGCCCCTTTGAGGTGGTTTTCTTTACCTTCTTCTATACCTATTATTCTCAGGTTTGGTCTTTTCATGGAGTCCCATATTTCCTGGATGCAAAGGAGTTGTTAGACTTAAAATTTGCTTTGGTTGATGAATCCATTTCTCCTAGTGTATCTTCAACACCTGAGATTCTTTCTTCCATCTCTTGTATTCTGTTGGTAATGTTTGTATCGGTAGTACCTGACCATTTGCCCAGCTTTTCTATTTCCAGCCTTTCTTCAGATTGTGTTTTTTAATTGTCTTTACTTCAATTTTCAACCCTTAAACTATTTGAATTGTTTCTTGCAATTTTCTGTTTATCTTTTCATCCATTTGTTGCATTTTATAAATTTTTTGGTTTGTTGTTCCTCTCTCACATTTTTGGTTTTTTCTTCTATTTCCTGCCTTTTTTGCTTTGTTTTTTCTTCCATTTCTTGCATTTTGGGCTTGTTTTTTTTCTTCAACTTCTTGCATTTTTTGGTATGTTTTTTCCATTTTTTCCATTTTTTCTTTTGTTTTTCATCCATTTTTTGAGGGATTTTCCTATATCCTTTTTAGGGTCTCTATCATTTTCATGAAGGTGGTTTTAAGTTCATTCTCTTCTGCTTCGTTCGCATTGGAATGTTGGAGTCTTGCTGGTGTGGAGTCTCTAGAATCTGGTGGTGTCATATTTCTTTTTCTGTTGCTGAGTGTGTTTTTGTATTGTCTCTTTCCCATCTCTTTTTCTAGTGGGTGCAGAAAGAGCCCCTTACTGGTTTGGTGGTTAGGGGACCAGAGTTCCCTTTTGGTGGGTGCTAGCAAGTCCAATAATCTGGTGGTTCTTCTATTCCTTGTCCTCGTTCTGGTCCCATGGGTGGAGAAGAAGAACAGGAATCATATTTGTTTTTCTGTTGGTGAGTGTGTTTTTGTATTGTCTCTTTCCCATCTCTTCTTCTATATTAATGACCTTAACTCACCCATAAAAAAGACACAGGCTAGCAGAATGGATTCGAAGACAGAACCCATCCTTCTGCTGCATACAAGAAACACACTTCACCCTCAAAAACAGACATTACCTGAGAGTTAAAGGTTGGGAAAAGATTTTCCAATCAAATCGAGCCAAGAAACAAGCAGGGATAGCAATCCTAATATCTAAAAAATTAGACTTTAAAATAAAATCAATCAAAAGAAATGAAGGAGATCATTACATACTCATCACAGGCAAAATCCAGCAAGATGAAATTTTTATCTTGAACATCTATGCCCCAAATACAAAGGAATCCACATTTGTAGAAGAAACATTACTAAAACTTAAATCACATATAAAGCCCCACACACTTATAGTGGGAGATTTCAACACCCCACTCTCACCACTAGACAGGACTACCAGACAGAAACTCAACAAAGAAGCAAAGGGTCTAATAGAAGTAATGACCCAACTGGGATTAACAGATATCTGTAGAACATTTCATCCACATAAAAAAATATACCTTCTTCTCACCACCACATGGAACCTTCTTAAAAATCGACCACATACTTGGTAACATGTCAAACCTCAGCAGCTACAAAAAAAATTGGAATAACTCCATGTATCTTATCAGACCACCATGTGTTAAAATTAGAATTCAACAACAACACAAATTGCAGAAAACCTACAAACTCATGGAAATTGAATAATGCACAACTGCACCATTCTTTAAAAAAAGAAATTAAAGAAGCCCTCAGAAAATGGAAAGATCTCCCATGCTCTGGGAGAGGTAGGATCAATATATAAATATGGCAATCCTGCCAAAAGCAATCTACAGATTCAATGCAATCCCCATTAACATCCTAGCATAATTCTTCACAGACCTTGAAAGAACAATCATCAATTTTGTATGGAAAAACAAAAGACCCAAGATAGCCAAGACAACCCTGTTCAACAAGGCAACGTCCGGAGGCATCACCATCCCTGACTTCAAGGTCTATTATAGAGCTATAGTCCTGAAAACAGCTTGGTATTGGCACAAAAACATACAGGTAGAACAATGGAATCAAATTGAAAACCCTGATATTAACGCACACATGTATGAACATCTGATCTTTGACAAAGAAGCTAAAAATATACAATGGAAACAAGAAAGCATCATCAACAAATGATGCTGGCATAACTGGAGGCTGGCATGTCGAAGAATGCAGATCAATCCATGTTAATCGCCATGCCAAAACTTAAGTCCAATTGGATCAAACTCCTCAACATAAATCCAGCCACACTGAACCTTTTAGAAGAGAAAGTGGGTAATACCCTTGAACGAATTGGTACAGGAGACAGCTTTCTGAACATACCACCAGTAGCACAGACAGTGAGATCATCAGTTAATAAATGGGACCTCCTGAAACTGAGAAGCTATTGTAAGGCAAAGGACATAGTCAGCAAGACAAAAAGGCAGCCCACA